AACCAGTCAAGCAGTACACCACTGCATGATGGAGTGCTCTCCAGTAGAGAAGTATGAGAGTCACTGGGGCTGAGTGGTAAACGTGCACCATGAAAATATAGTGGCTCTGCATCACTCTAATAGAGATGTTTTTCTTTCAGTCTCACAGAGCTTCTGCATGGCGCTACAGAAGACAGGCATGTTGACATGCTTCAGCATCGATTAACATGAGCTTTGGCATCTCTGTATCACATTCTGCTGTAGCTTTGTCTTCATGAGGAAGTTACTCAGAATATCTACCTCACATGGCTATTCTATGCTGCTGAGGTAGCCCTTGGAGTGTGGGCATTTCCAGTGTCAGAAAGGTCAGCCAGACCAGACAGGAATGAGTAGAATGGGAAAAGAAAGTGTCCCAAAGAAGATCTAATGATAATTCGGTACTACTCAGAGTCTTATTTCCTCCCAACTTACTTCACAATGACATTACTCTGTAGACAATTCTCTTTTCTGTCTTTTTCTGTTATTCCAACTGAAAAATTAATGTTACATAGCTTAAGTAATAGGTATGGTTTAGTGGAATGAAATGTGCTATGGTAAAACATACACATAGCTTTACTGACATGTGAAATGTTTGTCTGAATGATTTCATACTCACACAGTATGATGAAAAGTCCATACAAAAATAGGTAAAGAGCCAAATCAGAAGTTTTTTGCTTGAGAAAATAAACAGAAGTCTACAATTTACCCTTTCCCTAAAGTTTAACTAACGTCTTCTGCCAACAACAACACAACAGAACTATATCAACAGAATTATATCAACACTTCTTCTGTTTCAATATTAAGTTCAAGCATCTGTTAACAACTTATTGCTTGTTGTTGTTGTTACGTGGCCAGATCTTTTATCCATATACAACAATGCTGGAATTAACTTACTTTTCAGTACTTATTTGCTTTTCCCACAGTCTGCTTCTAATTTTATCTCCTACAACCCACAATAACTTGACATTTCTTGTAGTCCTTTTTATCATGGACAGTGTTCTCTTAGGATCCCAGGTCCCTTCACAAGTAGTTTCTGTACTAGAGAGTATTTCTTTCTACATGAGATAGTGCAGTAACAGAGGTGATCTGTGATAAGGAAATATAGGAAATATGAACAGTTTGATTTATTCACAGAAAAGAAAAGAAAAGAAAAGAAAAGAAAAGAAAAGAAAAGAAAAGAAAAGAAAAGAAAAGAAAAAAAAGAAAAGAAAAGAAAAGAAAAGAAAAGAAAAGAAAAGAAAAGAAAAGAAACCTCACAACAACAGAACTACAGAAACTATATTTGATGAAAATGTTTTATGATTTTGCAAACAATGAATGTGAGACATGGAATAGGTTGGTTAAGAAACTTCATGGAGCTCAGTTTATTCACCATGGGATTAAAAATGTCTCCGCCAAGAAGTTCGTCTAACCTGTTTTTCAGAAGTGACAGGAAGGAGAATTTTATAATCTTCTTGAGTTATTCATTACTGAATTGTCTGATAAGTTAGAAAATGTATCAAAGCTATTTCATTCATAAAAAGTGCCTCACCTAAATACCCTGGTTTCTATGGACATTTCTCATTGCCTGTTCAAAATGGTGAGTCCGCTCCCCTCTCTAGATGCAGGACTTCTGAAAGCACAAATACAGTCTATCTGGAAGGTGGGCAGCAGAACATAGATTTACCTTATTATGATGGAACGCTTTGAATTTTGATGCTACCTTTGCCATATGGACATTCTCCTTTTTGCTTCCTCTTATTAACAAAATAAATACAAATAAAAATACCCTTTTGCCAATTCCACAGTCAGCCCAGACAACCTCATGAATACCAACATGCAGCTTGTAAAGAAACAGCAGTAGAACATCAAGGTCTCATTAGTTTGATTTCAGTTTGCACCTCTGAAGATATCTGTTGACCATCTTGTCATCCTGCATATTATTTAAAGCAACTACAACATCAGTAAGACGCCTTTACAAGACTGTAAAGATACAGTCATGATCCTTTCAGACTTTCACCTCCTTCTGCTCTGTAAAACCAGACAGGAATTCATACAGAAGTACATTCTTTGTGCCATGCAAACCCAGGAGCTAAGCTTTTCTCTGATGGGACAGGACTGACATGATAGCAATGGTTTAAACTTCAAACATATCAAAGGTAAGCAAAGTATGTACCTACAAAGCAGCAGGTATATGGCTCAAAAAAAAAAAAAAAAAAAAAAAAAAAAAAGCAAAGAAAAAAATACATAGATTAAAATTTTAAACTCTATGTGTTTGTAGCCTTTGCTATATGTCTCAGGAGAAGCATTTCTTTGAATATCTTCAATATTATCTCAAATTTGAGCGTGCTGTATTGCTACCAGCATCTGAATTAGCTTGTTTAAAATTAGTTCTGCTGTGTCAATTGCACACTCAAGCACATCCCTTGTTAGATAAAAGAAACTGGCTAAAAAGAGATGGTTAGTATGCACAGAAAACTATCTGTCCTATGAGGAATAAGTTGCTTGACAGTATTCAAGAAAATAGTCATCAAAGCTGGACTTAACCACTCATATGCTTGCTAATGAGCACTAATAGCAAATTAGATTACATCAGATTGGATTAGAGCTCCCAGAGAAAATGTCACACACTTTCATCAGCTGTGTAGCAGATTAGACTATGATTCCAGTGTAAAGAAGGAAGGCAACACAAAATTCAAGTTGCCTTGGCTGGAAAGAATCATAGAATTGTTTGAATTGGAAAGGACCTTTAAAGGCCATCTGGTCCAATGCCCCTGCATGGAACATGGACACCTACACTAGATCAGATGCTCACAGCCCCATCCAGCCTGATCTTGAATGTCTCCAAGGACGGGGCATCCACCACCTCTCTGGGCAACCTGCACCGGTGCCTCAGCTCTCTTACTGTAAAAAATTTCTCCTATATCCAGTCCAAATTCCCCCCTCTTTTAGTTTGAAACCACTTCCCCATGTCCTATCACAACAGGCCTGCTAAAGAGTCTGTACCATTCTTTCTTTTAGCCCCTCTCTAGATACTGAAAGGCCACTATCAGCACAAAGCATCTTCCAAAAATTCTGTGAAAGCTGAGTCAATCACCTACGGTCAGGACAGCGGTGTACATTTCATGAGAACGTTCTTACTCTTGTGGGCACGTAAATTAATCTGCTGCTTTTTAAAGCAGTTCTTCAGTAAGTCATAAACCCAGCCCACAGGTATTCACATGCCATGACTGCACAACACCTGAGAATGACAGCCCTGTGTGTTGCTGCTTCACTTCCCCACTCTTTAAATGTGTTTGTTCCTATATGTCCTAGTGACCGATACCTTTCTAATTCTCGGCAGTAATGAATCATTTTGCCCTCCTTGCCCTCCTCCTTCAGCGGAGTTGAAATCAAAAAAGCTCAGCACAGTGCACTCCAAAGCCTCGAGCTCCCTCTGCAGCATTTGGGAAGGAATAGTCATGCCTCAAGGAACCTATGTGGTAGGGAACCGGATCGTTTAATTTCTGGGAAATGTCTGCTGAAATCTGAGCTGGTCTAGCAAATCGTTTCCACTAAATTTTATTCTAATGAGACGCCGTTATGATCTGTTGACCCTGGCAAATATTTTCCTTGCAAACCCCACCCCAAACCACTTTCAAAGGAAACAACCGGAGAAAAGCATGTTTACTCCAGGATTTTCATTTGTGAATGTGCAGTTAACAGCTCAGATTCAGACATAACAGAAGGTGTTACTAAAATACTATGTCAGACATTAAAAGGGAGTTCAAAAGCATTTAAGCAATGAGTTATGTCTAAAATGATGATTTATATTGTATAGTTCTGTGTTTGTTACTAATTTAGATTCCCTGAGAATTACACAGACGTATGGGATTGCTTTCACACCTCCTCATACATCAGTGCAGAATGTGGCCACTGAGTTCATACAAACCTATGAAAATCTCAACTGATGTTGATTTCAACTGCATGTCAAGGGACTGAGAATAAAGGTATAAATTACACTGATTTATGTAGGCTTCCTTCATGTAGGCTTGTTTCTGAATTGAGCACAAGCTATGTGCCATGTGATTTGGTCCCTCCTTACATGCTTTTGCTTTATAGAGTAATTGTTTTGGCAATATTAAAGTGAGATTTTAATTAATTAATTTTGTTTGTTTGTTTGTTTGTTGTTGTTGTTTTTTACCTCTTATATTGCAATTGGGACTTCTGTCTGCTTTCTAAATTAATCTACGCATATTCCTCCTTGGTATCACACTACACATTTTATTCATGTTCATTCCTCCACACGCTGAAGAATCTTCAGGACCGCAGAGAGAAAATACACCCCTGAGAACAGGCACATCTCATCCCTCCTGTGATCTTGCAATATCCAATTTGTAGCAACTAGGGAACTCCAAAAAAATCTGCTTTAAACTGGTTTAGTTCACAGATGGACTTCATGTCTGTAGCTAGTTCTGTAAATTGGCTTTCTTCATGATATGCAAGACTGGATCTGCATAACAGACTGAAACAGGATGCTGAAAATCTAGCAGTTTTATTTAAGGAGAGCTTGTGCCTGTGGGAGTTTTAGAAACGTTTTGGGAGTAGTAGGAGTTGTTCCTCAGCTTGGAATGTGAGACTGGGGAAGGAGATGTGAAAAAATGATAACTTCCAGGTTTGTGAATCTGCAATTGCAATCTATGCCAAGAATCATAGTTCTATTTGTGTACTGCAATGACAATAAATTGAAGGATGTACTAGAAACAATCTAGTAATGGGGTAGCCTGGGGAATCAACCAAAGGAGCAAGGAAAATCCTGAATTATCTATCTGTGCTGCGAGACAAACCAGTATGGTTGCTCTGAACTTTAGAGACATACCAAACAATGGCATGAACTTGAACTTTCCCATTCAACATAAGTTCACAACCCTTCACCTTGTGTAAGAATTGGACACTAAAGATTTGCCCTGCTTCTTCTGTTCTAAAGGTCAGGAGTTATTTCATGTCACAATTAATCTTTGCAAGTAATAGGACCGCCAAGACAAGTCCTGTGTTGCTAGTGAATGGCTCAGGCCTTTGGGAGCAGCAGAGACAGCACAAGGAGGGCAGACGCTCCTTTCTTGAGCAGCTTCCAGGGACATAATGCACGTAGCAGAATCTCTCTGAGAAAGGGGCTCTGATACTGCACTTCTTACTTTCTGTTGGGTCCTTTCATCAGTATATAACCCCAAATAATCCTCATCCATTTAGCTGGTAGTTAAAACATTAAGTGATAAAGAGTAAGAAAGCTTGTAATTGTGCACTTAATGGGGAACCTACAGGCCTCCCAGCTGAGGCATAGATGAATTACTATAATGACAGCCCAATCAAAGCCAGGTGTAGGGAACTGGCACTTCTGCTTGAGCAGCAGGAGACGGGCAATCTCACATTTGGCTCCAAGCACACGTTTTTAATTCAGTACCACGAGACAAGTCAGTTAATCTCCAGGGTATTTTGAGCACTGTGTGGTTCCTAAGCATCTGAGCAGCCTCATGTGAAGGGGGCCCGCTTCCTCCTAATAAATTTGAGGCACATGAGTCCCTTTGCTCTCAGACACAAACTGCGTGGCACAGCTACTAGGCACTACCACACCTTCGAGAAGCACCAGCCGCCATTTTCTGACGACTGCGGGAGAGCCCGCCGCCGTGACGTCACTTCCGCCCCGGCTGGAGCGGGTCAGCACCCCGCCGTAGCGGGGCCGGGCCGGGGCGGGCTTCGTGTTCCCGCGATAGCACTGCGGAAGCGCGAGTGAAATTCGCCGCCGGGGTGGAGTTCCGCCGGTCTGTTCTGGAAGCCCGGGTCTGTCTTGGTGTCAGCTGCGCTGTAGGCCTCAGCCCTATGGATCCCTTTCTGGCTCTGCTGAATTCTTTGTCCGCCTGTCTGTCTGCCAGCGAAGTGAGCGCACTGAAGTTTCTGTGCCAGGACAAAATTGGGAAAAGGAAGCTGGAGTCTGTCCAGAGTGCCAGGGAGCTCTTCATCTGCCTCATGGAGCAGCAGCTGATTTCAAGATACAATGTAGATTTGCTTAAAACCATGTTTAAGAGCATTAAAAGAGAAGATTTGATCTTACAGCTGGAGCAGTTCATAGAAGATGGAGAAGCCAACGCTCCCGATGAGCAGCCTGACTTGGAGGAAAGACGTAGGTGCAGCTTTTTATTTTTTTTCATTATTTTTTTTTCCAAGTGATCCCAGTAAACGTGTGGTTGAGAAGTGAAAGTGCTCAGCCATCAGTTCCCAGCTGTGGCTGCTGCTAACGGTGCTGCTGCTGTGCTTAACTGCTGAAGGGACGGTGTCATACCCTGGAAGTGTACCATGAGGGCAGCATATGCTGCAAACAGCTGCTCCTTTAGCCCTGGTCACAGAGTTACAGAATCCTAGGGTTTGGAAGGGAACTCTAGAGAGTCCAACCCCCTAAAGTCTTGCTAAAATAGGTTCGTTAAAGCAGGTTGCACAGGTAGGCAGTTAGGTAGGTCTTGAATATCCCCAGAGAAGGAGATTCCATCACTCTCTGGGCAGCCTGTTCCTTTGCTCTGTCACTCTGACAGTAAATAAGTTCTTCCTTGTATTTTTATGGAACTTCCTGTGTTTCACTTTCTGTATGTTGCCTCTGGCTCTATTGCACGTCACTGAAAAGAATCCACTCCTATCAGCGTGACTCCTGCACTTCAGATACTTACAAAGAGTTATTAGTTTTCTCTCACTCTCTCCTCTCCAGACGGAGGAGTCCCAAGTCTCTCAGCTCTCAGCCTGGTGGTCAATTGGAAGTCCTGCTCTGTACTAGGAGCTTCCAGAACACGCAGTAGCTTTTCATTATGAGTGATACATCAAGAATAATAGTGTTTTGCTTAATAAAATTATATTTCTTTGTATATCCTCACATACGTATTTCTGCTGTTTCAGGTTTGCAGAAGGTGGTTATCGAAGTTATATGCGAAAACGTTGGGAGAGACTGGAAAATGCTGATGCGAAAACTTAACCTTTCTGAAGCGAGATTGGAGGAAATAGAAGAAGCCAAGCCCCATAATTTGCGGGAGCGGTTGTTTTGGTCACTTCGAACGTGGCAGAAATTGAAGGGGAAAGATGCAAAGGTGACTGACCTAATAAAGGCTCTTCGAGGCTGTAATATGAATTTAGTGGCAGACATAGCTGAACAGAAGCTCTCGCGTCTGAACACAGAGAACATGTGAAATGAAGAGAAAAACACTTTCACATCACAGATGCAAATGAAGAAAGAAGTAAAAGTGCCTTTTGATCATCTGGACCCAAATCACTGTCATTGGCTCTGTTAATTCTGCCATTAATTTATGTGCCTTGAAATTAATAGGTTAATTTCAGATCAGGTTATAACTAATGGAAAACAAATCCTTCCTTTCAGGCAATGCTTTGCAGTTGGTGCTTCCTTTAAGAGATTTTAACTTTTAGAATACAAATATGCCACTTTGCAAAAATTCTGAGACTTTAGTATTGCCTCCCACCTGAAAATAAGATGTACTTTATTGCAGATTCCTTACAAACGCCTTGTCTGTAATTACATCCATGGGACACTTCTGAGGGAACTGAAAATTTCATCAGGAGGTTGGAATATTCATATATATATGTATATATATACTTTTTAAATGATCTGTTTGTAACTAGTGTGAAAGGGGGAAGGAAGCTGAGCTCTTAGCTATGTAGTGAGTCTTCTCTTTGCTTTGAGTAGCATAAGGTAATATCTTCCATAATTTTTGAACACCTTTGCTATCAGTAAAAGAACACAAAGAAGACTGTAACCTCAGTCTGTAAGACATCAGTGCAATAGGACTCATAACTACTGTAGTGGGTTTTTTGGCAAAAAATGTGCCTGAATTGAAAAACAATCCTGTTGAAATTAATTATCAAGTGCCTTTACACACAGACTCACAGAATGGTTTAGGTTGGAGGATGCCCCTGGAGATTATATGGTCCAACTGCCCTGCTGAAGCACAAGTACATAGGGCAGGCTGCACAATACCATGCCCAGGCAACATTCCAGAGGAAAGATACCATGACTTCTCTGGGCATCCTGTGCCAATGCTCTGTCACCTGCATAGTACAGAAGTGATTCCAGATTCTTAGGTGGGAAACATCATCCTGAGAGTGATGTTTTCCTGGAACTGTCAAAGAGATTGTACCTTACGGATGTTTACAGCAGACTGTTGTTTTTTTTTTTTTCATTGCCTTGAATGTTTTAAGATTTTCTAAAGCTAGTCATCTCATAATCCATATCAGGGAGTCTGGTTATGTCTGCTGGATGCTGCAGCTCACCTCATCAGTCAGCTACAGTTATCTGTGGTCTTGGTTGAAAAAAATAAAAAATAAACATATGCAGTAACAGAATCTTAGAAAGCAAAAATGACTTGCTTTTAGTCAAGGAGCATGAAAGCTTGTGGGAAGAGTACTAACTTTCTCTCCAGTGATATTCTGTGAAGATCAGATATCTTTTGTCATTCTTGGTTTGAGTACTACCAGAACTGGTAGTACTTCCAAGTTCTCTGCAATTCTTTACTTTGTTGCCATTCCTTTACGCTTCTAGAAATGGCTGTAAGCAACTCACAGTTGAAGGATCATTTGTAAAATGAGACCAGACCTAAAAAAGTACAGATTTCATGCCTAATGTAACACTGGAAAAAGCTGTATGTGCTTCAAGACACGTAGGGCAATGGAAGCCTATTTGTTATGCCAGAGGGGAAAGTTCTCTGATATTATTATTGTTCAGATGAGTTGTATTGTTACAGCGAACATTTATCTAACTACATAGATGATTCCTAAAGAGGAAGGCTTCCTTTTTTTTTTTTTTTTTTTTTTGGCTACTGTACCCATGTGACTTGGCTTTGTCCAAGTTCTTGTTGCATGGTGCTACTACTGTGAAGACCAAGTATCAGCATGTAGTATTACATCACTACTCTGTATAAATGTTGTTACAGTCATAATTTTCAAGTTTTTGTTGAAGTTGGTGCTTCTAGTTCAGAAGATTACCCTTGAATACTTGATTGTAGTTGATGGAAACTGCTGTCATATGAACTACTTATTTGGGCTTTCCCTTTAAAAAATGCTTGCGAGGATCATTTAAATCACATTAGTTGACTATATGTGAGCAAAGAACAATGGGTAATATGAAAGTTTCCTCTGGTTTTTGACAGGTGCAGTTCTTTAAGTGCTTGCTCCAATACTTGGTCAGCATCAATTCTCAGTTCCAGAGTTCTGGTGGGAGATGAAATGCTGCACTTCCGCTCAGAAGTTTTAGAGATGTTTTTAATAGTGTTGGTCCCCATTCTGCAGTATTTGAAGATTTTTATTTTTTTTTACTTCATGTATTTTAATGATCTTTGTGAGCAGAGTGGAAGAGAAGTGAAGTTAGCAAAATGAGTTATGTTTGTGGTGAAGCAGTCTGCAGCAGTTCCAAGTTTAGTCTGTCCACTAACATGTTTTACTTATCTACTTGTCATAAATCTTCTGGTTTTTATCAAAGATACATCTATCTGGAATATTAAAAAGAAGTATATTGCCTACTGTATATAATCAGGGTATCTTTAGAATCATTAGGAATAGCAGTTGTAGCCAAATGTTCATGTGCAAGGAATCTCCTGCCTTAGAAAATGTAAAACTTTAGGATTTGTGTGTAGTTTTATACCATGTAATCTTGTGCATGTTTCATTAAATATATTTCTTTAAAAGCAAATGAAATGGAACTGGATTTGTCTTATAGGATTGCTGTTTTTGAGGAGATCTCTAGTGAGGAGAAAATAAATGGTGGGGACACTTAATGCAAGGAGTGGTGGTAAACAGGGCTAGTCTTACCATGTCCTTGGAACATCAGAAAGGACAGGAGGGCCAGGGGGAAGTAGCAGTAGATTTGAATGCTTTTGCCTGGGGAGATATACAAGAAAAAAAATTTCTGCCAGCCCTTAGGAGCCTAAAATTGAATGCAGTGTATGCATAGGACATAGAACTTTTATGAGTGACCGTATTAAAATTGATTTTCTTACTTTTTCTATACTAGTCATGCTGTGGTAAGGATATTGCAGTTGTTTTATAATTAATTAAAATTGTAGTTTACGCCTTGTACTAAACCTGCAGGCTCCTAGAGAATGCATTCAGAAGTGTTATTCTCTGAAGTCTCTTCTGATAATAGAGTATTAGTGAGCGCTTAACACTTTAAATGCATAAGGCAAATAACTTAATTACTCATTTTATCAAATTCTCTCTGTGATAATCTGCAGGAATATCTGTGAGAATCACTAAAGTGTTTGTTTTTGCTCTTGTCTCTTGAGAATATTTTGCAGCTTTGAAAAGACAACATGTCAAAACACACTGAGAGTAAAAAGCAGTATTTCAGGAGAATCTGATGTTGGCAGATTGTTTTCTTTCTGTCCCTTCATAGTCTCTTTCACTATGTGCCTGCCATTTCCTTTGATACTTGAAGATGTTCATAATTGTATATTGCACGTTGATTTTTTTTAAGGAGTTGCATTTTTTTTTTTCATGACAGTTTGAGAGAAGTTTTCTAGACTTATAAATTCCCCCTGCACAAGTTGGTTTTCATGACTACTTCAAATGCAATGTTTTGTTTTCCATTTTTCTCCATTCCTCAAACACAGGCAGCTGCATTTCCTCCATCCTTTGTTTCACTCCTAAAATAATGGGCTACTTTATGAAATCTAATTGCTTCATTTAATTGTCTAATGCAGACAGCTTAGTAACACATGCTGTACCTCAGAGCTCTCGCTGGCACTCAGCATGTCCTTAATACAGATTCTTTTGTTGATTATTTTTCAATTTCAGTTTGATTTCTAGTCACTGTCTTTGTTTCTCTCATGATTACCAGAAGGTGGTTTGTGTTTTTCTTCCCATTCTCTACACAGATCACCTATCTCCTTAAAATATGTTCCAGCATGGAAAATATTGTTCCAAGTTGTTTTCCCTTTATGACTTATTACTTCTTTCCTCCACCAGTGTTTTTATTGCGAGTTTAAAGGATGCACCAGTAGAACTGCGAAAACCAGTTCACTGCTTCAACAGCATTCCATAAGAGCAAGAATTATGGGGGTCAGATGAGAGGCATGGGGCTTTGATGCCTGTGAGTAGTACAAGAACTCTGGAAGAATCTGTTTTCGTAACAGTTCTCATAGTGGAGGCTTTCTCCGTATTGAGAGGGTATTTTGCAGTGGGTTCTGGGATCTGTAGGCTTAGGAGGAAGCACAAATGTACACAGCTGCCTGTAAAGTTGGATTAATGAAGAAAGAACAGATGGGCTTCTATGCAATAGACTCACATGCATTCTTAATGACTACGTGGGCATAAGTTTCTTCAGATCTATTTCTTCCAGTTTCCCCTCGAGAGCATTACTCATTCACTTCTTAAAACAGACCATTTAAAAACAAAACATTATTAAACATGTTAAAAAATGTGTTGCATTGCTGATGCTAGTCAAGTTTAAATTCACTAATTCCTGTACTTGGATAAGTATTGGAGATGGAGGTGTTTTTTCCTTGTTTCCCAAACAGTCTGTGCTCGCAGTTCTGCATGTTAGTGGTGATGTAGCTTTCCCTTCTTTCTGCCTTGAGTTCAGTTTGTCAATTCAAAGGTTAATTTCATGTCTCTGACAGCTCAGTACTTAAGACAGCTTTCAATCTATATAATAACTGGCTGTTGTAGAAAAGTTAAGGTTTTTGAAACTGTGTACTTTAAGACTCTGAAGGGGTTGATATTTTATCTAATATATATTGTATAATACATTGTAAAGCTATTCTCGAGGTTTACATCTCTAGTACAGTGTAATAAGTACCTTTGCTAAGAAGAGTAGCTTAACATTAACTTTGTGTCACAAAGTTCTGAAACTGGCATTTTTACTTCATAGTTTTCTGGCCTTTGGATCAGACTGTTGTGCTGTGTGAAATTACAGAAGATGAAATTTGGACCCTTGTCAAGGAGATGTATAGAGATTCAATGGGTCTTTTATGTCGATGACAGATTTACAGGTGAGTCTGCTGGTAAGGACTTCTATGTAAAGGAGTAACACTGCAATTAAAAATGCTCACAATCTTTATTCACTTCTACTTCATAATTCCATTATTCCTGTTGATCACAGCTGGATTATTAGCTCTAGAAAATAATTTGCACAATTTAATAAGAGTGCTTCTTATTGTGGCCCAACTTAACAGCTTTGCCACTGCCTATAGTGAAGATTTGCCAAAGGTGCTGTATGACAGTATTTCTGTACACTGGTTGGGAAGTGATTGTGTGTGCAAACCTGGCACCAGATTTATGTACAGCGAGCATATAAGCTACGAGGAAAGTTTTATATAAAAATCATAGAGTCATAGAATGGGCCTGGGGTGAAAAGGACCACAAAGGTTATCTAGTTTCAACCCCACTGCTGCATGCAGTGTCCACTAGACCAAGCTGCCCAGAGCCACATCCAGCCTGGCTTTGAATGCCTCCAGGGATGGGGCATCCACAACTTCCTTGGGCAAAATTGAGCCTCAAAATTATTCTTGCTACAACCTCTTGAATTTTAAGAATTTTAAGCATTTTAAGCATTTATACTTAAATTGAAATTTAAGCATTTAAGCTTGTAGTTCTAGACAAAATTACCTCATTTTTTTTCCCACTCTTTTGCAGAATGTTTAATATTTGTTTTTTGAAAGATTTGTGGTTTTTTTTTTCTTTATAAAAAAAGAGGTTCCTGCATCTAGATCCATCTGTTAAATAAAAAAGGGGAACCAAAGATCTGACCATTAGAGCTTAATGCTTTGCTTTTTTTTTCCCTCAACCAATAGTCTCCCTGAGAGTTGGTTCCTGTAGCTTCTAGGCATAGTGCCAAATTTTGAAAAAAAAAAAGTTGCAGAGAAAACGGGAATGAAAAGGGTGCAGCACCTGGCAGGTCTGGGCCCATGGTTTCTGAGTTCTAAATCCTGTATTCTTTCTTTATGTCGTGTTAAATGGGGGCAGAATTTAGTCACAACTTCCTGGCTGTGAAGTCCCTAGTGTGGGAAACTCTGGTTAGCCGGAATTACCCTCAAAGCCATTATTCCCATGGCAACTGCTTTGCGCGAGAGTGCACAGGGCATGTGGCTGCAGCAAGCTCCCTCCTGGCTATCCAGCTAGCTGAATAATGCTGGGAAGCTGTTACTAATTGGGAGACTTGCTGCGGTCTCTGGTAGCTGACCATGTCAGAAAGCCTAACTCCAAGTGCAGGAACATTGAGCAGAATTCCTGACTTGATTTTCTCCCTTCACTGCCCCATTGAGATGGGGAAAACGAGAGAGTGCAGTCCTAGAAATTAAAGCGTTTGCCTTTGACATTTCCTAAACATCAGCTGAGCACATGGTGCTTCCATTTCTGCGTCTAACCTGGGCTGTAAAACTCAAACTTGTGTGTCTAACTGCGTGTTTGTGCATGAAGTAAGTCATATATATGCAGATGAATTAAAGCTAATGTGAGCTAAAAAAAAAGAGTCATGTACACTTCTAGCTAACAGCTACTTGGAGCTCTGTCATACGCCCCTTAAATAAGTGGACTTCATTATACAGTTCTTTCCTTCAAAACATTCTACTTTTTACAAAAATTAGCACTTCATATATAAAACAATGTTGTCTCTTACGATACATTGCTTCTGAATGTCAAGTTCCACACTTAGGCTGTGAGCTGTAAGGGATATTAAGAGGTACGGTGTATAATATGGTGTATAATAGATAACTGCAGGTACCAGTCTCTTTGTTCCATACAGCACTTTTTTTCTTTCATTTCCTGGACCTTCACCATTACCAGCATTCCAGCCCTGGCTCACTTTGAGCCTTTCTCACAGAACCAAATGAGATCACCTGTGGTCTTGTGTTATGCTAACACAATACATGCCACTACCATAACAACCTGACTGAACAGAGGTACTCAAAAACAGTGGGCTTCACTGTGGACGTGGCCCTTATTTCCATCCTGGCTTCAGTGCACCAAGCAGGTGCGGAGCAGGGAGGTGTCTGATCTAAAGCAGCCCTTCAGCACTGCAGTCTCCTCCTGCTGCAGGACCTGCCAGCAAAGAGAGATGACTGCTGCTTGGGGTTAAGCTATGGGGAGCTCAGTTTGTTCTGTGAGGTCTGAGAAGTTCCCACGGGTTAATTTAGCGGAATTCAAGAAGGAATTATGGAGAAATTAGGTCAGTTCCTTTTACTGAAATAGCACCTATGGTGCCTCATAGGCTTATCTCTTTTTCTCCTTTAATGATTACTTTCATCCATTATCTCCCTCCTACAAACTCATACCCCTGCACATTGTAAATGTTGAATGATTATCATACAGAAGCCAGGGGGAAGACAAATACTAGTTTTCCTGATGGTTTGAAGAGGACTTCGACATTGCTAGAATCATCCCAAGCTGTTCAGGCAGCTTGTTCCAGTGGGTTTTAATGGTTTCAAATAGGATATGGCAGCCTCAACTGTAGGAAAGTGGGCACTGGTAGAATTGCCCCAGTACCTGTATCCTGTTTTTTTGAAGTGTTATCATGTCAGATGTTATAGCAGCAGTGGCAGCTTCCTGTTTTCTCATGCAAAGAGAGGCAGTGGGCAGCTGCTGGCTAAAGAATGCTGCTGGCTTCTTTCAGTCACGTATTTTGGTATCGCAGAGGTGGTGTTATTGAAGGCAGACAAAACAGCTTCTAACCATGCAATTGAACTGAGCC